GAGAGAGAGAGAGAGAGAGAGAGAGAGAGAGAGAGAGAGAGAGAGAGCAGCTGACTTGGTTGGGTGGTTGGGTGGTTGGAAGCCCAGCCAGCCAGCCTGGGAAACCAGAGCCAAATCAAACTGTGTTCCGATCCCCATTCAATCATCTCCCTCCCTCCCTCCCTCCCTCCCTCTCTCTCTGCTATTCACTGATGGAAAAAAGTATTTGTTGGCGGTCCAACTAGATAGTTGTAGCCAGAGGAGGAGGGCAAACAAACTGCCCAGAAAACTACAGCCAAGGATCCTGGCCACATTCTTCCTCCCCACCCCATCCCCGCTAGCCCTTTGACCCAGTTCCAACAATTTCGTTGGGAGGGACCTGGTAGGTCATCTAGTCCAACCCCCTGCCCAAAGCAAAAGAGACACCATTTCTGACAGGATGGCAGTCCAACCTGTTCTTGAAAAGCCGCCAGTCTTTGAGCACATTTCTCAAGTTGGATACTACAGAAATGATCCCCCGCACCCTCCGAAGCAAAATCCCCGCTTAAGCTTCAGAGGATGAAGGAGGGAATTTCGGTGGGAGATGGGAAGGTACACAAGCTGATACTTGATTACCGGCCCTTAATCCGATTTGTGAAACAGCCTGGTTTTTTGGGGGATTCCCCTATACCTGAAGCCTCGAATAAACCCCATAGCTGGACATGGGCCAAGGATGAGCTGCAGAAAACCGAAGCAAATTTAATCAGGAGTCAGGCTGGGCCAACACTGCCTGGCTCCTTCCTTAAATAAGTTAAATATTTTTAAGGTGTTTTTTTAAATCCCACATTTATTTATTATTATTACTCAAGGGGGCAAACATATCTAACAAGCACCTTCCTCTTCCTATTTTCTCCAGCCTGGGAAACAAGTTGAACTGACAAGAGAGGGAATGCTTGTTTAGATGGCCAATCTAACTGGATAATTTATTTTTTAATTCCTAACTGCAGCTTCCTCCCTATCTCTCTCCATCTCCCTCCTTCCCTCTTTCTCTCTCTCCATCTCTCTCTTTCTCTCTCTCTCCATTTCTCTCTTTCTCCCTCTCCTTCCCTCTCTCTTTCTCTCCCTCAACAAAAGTGAACCTCTACTTTCCTGAATTGGAAGAGGGGGGAACTATATTTTTTTTAATTAACGGCTCACACATACTCCACACAGAAGGGCACCAAGCAATTTACTTACTCTCCTCCCCACTTTCCTGCAAACACCCCCTTTCAAATGGTGAGTTTTGATTTGGAAGATTTGCTTCCCTTTCCTAGGCGAACAGAAAGCCATCCCCAAAAGACTTGCAAGTAGGTGGCCTTTATTTATTTTTTTATTTTGGCAAACTTGGTTTTTTTATTTTTATTGTTAAATTGCACTGGCCTTTTCTGCATCAAGCCAGAAACCACTGTCTGTGGTCTCTAAATCCTTTTTTTTTAAATCTAGGGTCTCATTTCACCCATTCCACAAAACCATGGACGGTTTTCCTCCCCAAAGTTTAGGACTCAAACTACCAAGGGCTGGGCTCCCCCATCAGCCTAAGCAGAGAAAAACCCCAGTTGTAGAACCAACCTCCATGAGAAAAACGACCAAAGGTTCCCACGAACCACAGGTTATATTAAATGAAGTTACTTTGGACCCCCCCACCCCCAGGTGGGGGAACAAAGCCAAGAAGACAATGAATCCCATGGATGCTACAATTGTTGGAGCAAAGTTCTGATTTGCTGGATGCCTGAATAGCCATCGTTACACCTGCTTTACGGAGGGGACAAATCACACACACACGCAAACAGAGATGTGCACACCAGGCGTCTTACCTGAGAAGCCAGGACGTGTTGCTGAAAATGGAAGGGCAAGGCAGCTGCAGCAGCTGCTGCCGAAACCCCACTTAATCCCTGGGCAGCTGCTGTGGCCATCACTGTGTTGTCTAAACCAGTAACTCCTGCCGACGCCCCAGAGACCGTGGCCAGCAAAGGTCCCATGCCGGCCATGCCTGAGAAAGCAGCTCCACCCATGGCAAACTGGCTCGGGTGGAGGAGGAAAGGATGCCCATTACTCAGGGGGTTGAAGAACGGTTGGCTGGCCAGGCCGTGGGGAAACGTTAGGTTGGACAGGTGGCTCTGGGCCAGGTGCCCAGGATTGTCCGTCTGAACCGTTAAAGGCGCGAAGGGTTCTTTGTTCATCATCCTGCATTCTTCCTGGCTCTTGAGTTCTTCTCCGCTGCCCAAATTCCGGGTGCTGGAAGAGATGGCGGCTGGGCTATGTTGGGAATCGGGAGGCATTTTTGAGGTGCTCTCCCGGCTCCTGCTGCTGGCGGAGTCCGGGGGTGGGAAGAGATGAGCCTTGGAAGGGCTGTTCTTTCCTCCTTCTCGAGGGTCGGTCCCATCTCCACCTCCCAAGGATGAGCTGCTGTTGGGGGCGAGGTTGGCCGTGGTGGTAGAGATCTTCCCGCCTTCGTTGGCTTCCATGGGGTCCTCTTTGCTCTCGGAGTCGCTTTCCCCATCGCTGGGACACAGGTCTGGGAAGAGAAGGAGAGAGAGAGATGGTGGAAAAGGAAGAAAAAAACAGAGAGAGAGAGAGAGAGAGAGAGCGCTTCCCAGTTGCCTTCCCACAACTTGTTCCTCTCTGTTTCCCAGCCACTGAGAACAAAACTTCCCAACTCAGTTGAGTACGGCCCAATGGAGTCCCGATGCTTACAATTCAGTTTTCTTCTGGACTTGGAAAGTCATCCGGGTTTTTTTTTCTTTCCCAATTCCAACTCAAGATTCTGATCTAATTTCCACTGAGGTTTGATCTACTTGGGCCTTGGCACTACAACTGTCTAATCCAAGCCAGAGAAAAAGAGATTTCATCCCACTATTTTCTAGATGTTTTCCTAAAACAAACTAACTAACAAAACAAAACATGTCCCGGCTGAGGGTAATCCAAAAGCGTAGTAAACTTTGCTAAATCATAGTCACTGGCTCTTTCAAAATTTAGGGTTTTGTGAATCACAGCTTACCCTGACCGGTTAGCTCATTTAGTTCTGGTTTATGCAATTAATGTTTGTGGAGATTCTCCATCACCTGGTCAGGGTCGTCCCAAAAGTGGTTTGTTTGTTTTTTAAGACTTCCCCCCCCCCCCCCCCCAAGAGCTGAAGAAGCTTCTTGGATGAGAAGCGAAAGGTCTTCCAAGAAAAACCAGGAAGTCCAGTTCGCCTCTTGGGAAAAAAAGCACATTTGGGACATTTGTGGAATTAACTATCTTCTTTTTATATATATATATATAAACTGCCCTCTGAAGTGTGTGTGTGTGTGAGGGTGAGGTTGAAGGATAGAGAAAGAACAGCATTAATTCTCCCATTTCTATTTATCCCAAGTTTTATCAGGCCTCTGGTATTGGAATAAACAGTGTTTTTTCTTTCCATTCGCAGCAAGAATCATGAACTTGGAATTTGGGGGGCAGAGATTGCTGCACACACTGACAAACACACACACACAAACACACACACACAAAACCAATGTTCAAACTTAAAAAAAACAACACGAGTGTGTCAAATTAAAAATGTGCAATACCTTCCTGCAGTAGCACAGCAAAATCAGAGCAATCTAAACAGCCAGGAAATGTGCAGATCTCTGGGCACCAGCTTTTGAGATAGTCCTTGACTTACAGCCACGAGGGAGCCAACATTTCTGTTGCCAAGCCAGACCGTTCCTAAGTCAGTTTTGTCCCACTTTATGACCGTTCCTTGCCACTCTTGTTAAAGGGAATCACTGCAGTGGTTCAGTTAGTTGTTAAGTGAAACTGGCTTATAAACTGTGTATATAAACTGGCTGATTCTGCAAGAGTTGTTAAGGGTAAAAAACAACAACCATAAGTCACTTTTCTTTCAGTGCCGTTTGTAACTTCCAGCGGTCACTAAATGAGCTTTTGTAAGTTAGGATTACCTGCAGACACAAACCTATGAGCCTGACCACCTTTTAGTGCCCATTTCAGACCAAATATCCCTGATAGATAAGACCAGGATTTCCTTGCTCTTTACCTTTGTAGCCACGTGGGGTTGAGAAGGTTGGGGGGAGGAAAAGGATGTTTGTGGTGATTTTAATCTTTCCCTGAACATTTTGAAAATTCCTAACAAATGGGAAAGACGCCCCGTTTGTGTCTCTGGTCCCCTGTTTCAGCCCACGTGGGTTTACCTGTGTTCAGACCCCAGATAAAATACAAATAAGGGAGAGAGAGACAAAGTGAAATTTTAAGATCTGGAGTGTTTTCCAGACTCACTTTTTAAAACCAGAGTAGGATTTTTTTTTGGGGGGGGGTGTTAATCCCCATCAGACAGAAACTTTGCAACCAACTTTTTTTTTTTTTAAACGACCCACGTAGTAGGAAAGCAACCAAGGCTCGCTCTTACTCCTGGGTGGAAACCAGAGAGGAAAAATGGCTCACCTTTCAGATTAGAGGTACCCACTGCGGACACAGCCGGAGATGTTGACTGAGCAAAACATTTAAAGGCCGTTTGCTCGCTGGAAGATTCATCCGAAGTTTCTTTTTTCTGCCTCTCATCGTAAACTCTCATGGACTGAAGAGTCAGCTGTTTCCTAGGAAAAGAAAAGGAAAAGAGAAAACAGAAAATCTTTTCAGTTTTGGCAGGACCCAAGCATTCTTGGTTTAGCCAGCTAAAAAACAAAAAATAAATCTTTTTTGTGCTCCTAGACGGGCATATTAGCCAAGTGTGGTCCAACCTGCCACAGCTTCACACAACCACCCTAAACCATAAAGGGTGGCTTGTTTGGACCACAACAACTAGAATTGCCAGCTGCACTGAACTAAAACCAATCCGTTCCATTAAAAGGTTGGCCAACAATTGTGCTTCAAATTTCTTTTTCTCCGTAAATTCCAGCCTGCCATAGCTTAAACTCAAGTCAACCCAAATGTTTAGAGAAATCTTGGCCAAAGGTTGTGTTTTAGAACGGGTTAAGGTGGTCTATGGTGGGATAATCCTCAACTTACAACAGTTCACTTAGTGACTGGTCAAAGTTACAATGGCACCGGATAAAGTTTTTTTTTCACACTTATGACCCTGGCAGCATCAACTTAGCGGCATATAATTCTAGGCTCAATTGTGGTCGTTAAGTCTAGGATTACCTGTACTAAGGATAACATACATTTGAATAAACCACCTTGTTTGTTTGTTGTCACCTTGGATGAAACTCTCAAAGCAAGTTTGGACAATCAGACTTTTAAATATTTGGGGTTTATCAATCTCCTTCTGCTTTGTTATTGGCCGTTCTGGCTTCGACTGATGGAAATTGGAGCCTCAGTTATCCAGGCACCTATTTTTGTCTTCAATTGCTGAAGCTCATCAGGCAATTGTCAGACCAAATCTTTTACAGCACTCTGGATGAACTCTGTTTACATGCTGCCTTCATCCATGCTTAATTAAACCATCTTTAATCTCATTAATCCCCCCTTTTTAATAATAATAATAATAATAATAATAATAATAATAATAATAATAATAATAATAATAGCATCTTAAGCCATTAATTGATTACACAGACTGAGTTCGGACAGACTAAAAATGCAGTTGGCCAGTTTGTGCGGCCACGTTATCTAAAAAGCTGAATTCACACAGTGCGTCTAAAGCTTGGTTTTGTGGAACTTAAAACTAGCCAAGCAGAATGAGTTCACAACCTAAGCATTGGAAAACATAGTTTAACAGCAATCACATCTAACATTTGCAGCATCTGATTAGCTGTTTTGGGTAAACATGGTTTAAAGTTTAAGATAGCACAAAACCAGGACTGTGGATTGAATCAATCAAGGGATATGGAAATCAGGCAATTGAGGATCCAGGTTTATTTGTTTTGGTGGAGGGAGATGCAAATTTTAAATGAGGCAGAGAAGAAGAGAAATTCCTAACCAACCGACTGTTTAAAATATCCAGGAAATATCTGTTCTCTTAATAGCTTCAAGAAAATAACTCTTGTTTAACGCTTGAGTGCAAATGTTCATTCTCCAAACTTGTGGTCCACAAAAACCTTGTGTTTTCTTGCTCCTCTTATTCTCATCCTCCTTGCCAGTATTTCAATCATCCCTACCACTTTTTGAGATCCAATCTGTAAAGATAGATACACACACACACACACACTGTCTAGTTCCCAATCGGTGTGAAAATACCGTGCTTACAAGACATATTTTAATAGGAATATATATAGTCTTACTAAAAATATGTCTTGTAAGCACAGTATTTTCACGCCAATTGGGAACTAGGCCATGAATAGAAGCTGCTAGAAGCAGATTGATGTGAATTTCCCACTCCCCCTTTCCATTTCACCACTTATCCTAAATCTTACCTCAGTGTTATTTGTGATTTCCTACTTTCCAGTTTTGATGGAGGTGGGAGTTACTTCTTTGAAAGAAACTCCAAACTCTTCCAACAAAATCTATTGAAAGTCGTTCAAAATCAGCTTGGCTATCTATTGTGGTTTGTCCTCCACCCTTTTTGTCTTTGACATGTCACCAATAGGAACCACGTCATAAACTATACATATACACTTGGCAGAGAGTTTCTCCTTTGAGTAGCACCAAAGGGAAAGTTGCGTATTGTCAAGCTTGACAAATAAATAAAAAAAAACAACCCCAAACCAACAAACTTTCATCCTGCTTTTCACTTCATGTTCACACCACAATTGGCTATTTTGGGGTAGGAACTGAAAAGAAAAGAAGGAAGAGTTCTATTTTCATTTTATTTTATTTTAACGGACTTTGGGGCAGCTTTTTCTGATGGTTCCCCAGCCCCCCAAAAGGAAAATTGACGTGTATATCTTCTTCTTACCGCTTTTCTCGCCTTCCATTCCCCGTGTCTCGAAAGCCTTTGGCAAAAGGGTTGTTGTCAATTTTTAACTGGGTGATCTGGCAAAAGAAGGACAAAGAAAGAAATTTGTCGCAATTGTCAGGACTTGGATTCTTAGGAAAGAAAAGATTCTTGATTTCATTTCATGTGAGAATGGTATACTTTGACTAGCAACCGGCTGGTTACAATGCAGGAAAGCCAGAACTAAAATTTACACCCGAAGGTTTCCTACTTAACTTTTTCTTTCTTGTTCCCCCGCCCTGTTATCTCTTTATTGTCCAGTTATATCTAAGATTTGTTCTGCTAAAGGGGTCTAATTGGTGTATTTCTGTTGCATTTCTACCCCTCTGTAGAACGGCAGTAAGAGTCTAGAAGGAGACTCTGCAAATAAGCTGACTTTTGGAACAATTTAATAGCTTAGCAAGACAGACCAGGATTTAAATGGGGGTGACTTTTAGGACTACAGAATGTTTCTGAGGTTTGCCACACAAAAGATAACAGGAAAGAGAGGGGGGGGAGGAAACCTCTGTTTCATTTAAACCAAACATTGCCCGCCTCTCTTAAAAGAAAAAAGGCCAGGATCCCAGAAAAAAAGCTTGTCTGAAGGAATAGAAAAGGAGAGGTTGCAGGATCTCAGAAGTAGGCAGTCAATTTTTTGTTTTTAATTTGCTTTATAGTTCCCCGCTGCAAATTTGCGGCTATTCAGGCAAGGATTAGGGGGTCCCATAGGGGACGAAGTTCCTGTGGTCATTTCCTTACTTCAGTTGCTCAGTCTTAGCTAATTGGAGGCTGCTTGGGCTTTGCTAACTCCCCCCACTCCATGAGTGTGTGTGTGTGTGTGTGTCTGCTCACGCACACACACGTACACAAACACACACACACACAGACAAGTGCACTGTTAGGCTCCTCTTGGAATGAATGGAACGCACAGCCCATTAGTCATGTTTTAGTCTCACGGTTTTACCTGCCTGAATTCAATTGCAAAAGTATGGCTTCCTCTCCTTGCTAAAGTAAAATATTTTACATAAAGGGGTTTGAATCTCAATTTATAATCAGTGCACGTGCCTGTCTCTCTCACACGCATACTTAAAGAAATATCTGCTGGACAGAATATCTGATGGGGCCCTTCAGCCTTCAAATTCTCCTCCAGGTTTCCCAAGCAATCTGCCCCTGCTTTGATTTTATGGGGAGTGGAAGGAAGGTTTCATTTCAAAGCTGGCTGGAAATGCTTCCCAGCTTGGGAAAATTTGCTGAATAGGTTTGGTGAAGTGAAGTAACTCTTGAATCTGAATATCAGAATGGAGGGTGGGGAGAATGACAGGCTGGGCTGATGGGGATGATGATAATAATAATAATAGGGAGAGGGAATAGGAGCAGAAAAAGAGAAGGAGGAGATGGGAAAAGGAGAAGGGAAAGGAGGGAAAGGAGAATGGAGAGAAGAAAGGGAGAAGGAGGAGACTTTTTTTCATAATAAGGGAGGAGAAGGGAGAAGGGGAAGGAGAAAGAGGAGAAGGAAGAGGAGCAGGAGAAAGGAGAAAGGGAAGGGGAAGAAGGAAAAGGGAAAGAAGGAGAAGGAGGAGAAGAAAAAGGAGAAGAAGGAAGGATCATCACTGTGTGTCACTTCAGAGCAAAATAATAATAATAATAATAATAATAATAATAATAATAATAATAATAATAA